AAGCAGTGGTACTGAATATGAAAGCACCAATAATCATGAAAAGGTACTATGACGTGAATATCAAATCATATATGATAAATAGAACGATTGTTCTATGCAACATCCACAAACTTGAACCAAACTCCAAATTACCGAAGCAGCAGCTAGTAGGCACCTAAGAAGACGTCTGATTTTAGGTTATTTTTTGTTTTTTTTTTGTTAACTGGCCTGTGGAACAATCCTGCACTAGTTAATGGTGTCTTATTAAAATGAGGTAATCAGAAAATGCTGTTGTACACTTTTCATCCAGAATGTACCTAGATGACCGAAACAAATACAGTAACATGTTATTTGCACTATAGCTAAGTACGGAGTACGCGACAGCATTGACAAGGTAACATACATCACTATGCACACACACAAAGTCAGTAAACATATCTGTGGTGACACCTAAGTAGTCACGGGTGGACCAGTGTTACCGGTCCATTCTTATGTTCTTATGTACTGTAGACGGTCACCGAGGAACGAGTTCCGTCTCAGGTGTCCCCAGGCAGTGTGTGTGTGGCGACTGGCGACTCACCCAAGGGTTGAGGAAGCCCTGCTGTGTCTCTCTCCTGCCTCTACTCCTCCTTCCCCACGCCCTCATCCAAGCCACACAGAACTACCAAAACGGAAATACCAGGTTGGGTGCGGACCATTTGTTTGCGTAGTGGTGGGCAGTTAATGGCCCGTCCACCCAGTGGTCCTCAGCCTGGCCATCACCATCCTTGTCTCACCTCCTGCTGCACTTGTTTCACCGCTTCAGCCTTATCATGAAACGTCACAATGTTGAGGTACAATGCAGACTATTGACAGGTGTCCTCATTCATGTATGCTGGAGAATGTAGCTGCGGTGTTGTCACTGAGGAGGTTGATCAGGGCAGTAGAAACTGTTTTCCGTACACATAATATTAGTAACTGGCTGGGTAACCTGTGTCTCCCGGGTTTGTTTTTTGGCAAAGTAAAGTTGACCAGAATGGTAAAGCCACAAAGCCTATATCTGTCCTTGACCAAATGTTTACATAGTCACATGTAATATAATACCTGCACTGTTTTGCACAATTTCACAATGTGTTCGTTGCGCTTTTGTTATGTTGTAAAGTTCCTCCACCTCCACTCTTTTTGCTGGCATCTCTCGTCAGTATATTCTTCACTCCATCTCACTCGGTATCTGTGCTTCCTCTTCCGATCATCTCCCTCATAATCGTTTTTTCACCTTATTCCTCCTTTTTAAACATAAGATCATATGAAATCACTATTCATCTGAACCATCTTAATGGATGGAACAGCATTTGGGCGGTTATTGGCCGTAAACCATTCTTGTGACCAAAATATTTATGACGTAGCGGCCAAGTTGAGACGGATCACCTGAAGAATAATAGGCCTAAATATGAAAGATATCCCTTACTTCATATCAAGATCGCAATTTTTCTGTACCTGTGCCTTATACATCAACCTGTATTTGCAGAGACATGAATAAAAACATGTGAATAAGGGTGTGGACAGTACCTCCAGGTCACACTAGGCTTCTTGAGCTGGCCACAAGAAAAGTAAGTTATGTCCTGTGTCCACTCATCCATGTGCTCCTTGCTCACACACACACACACCCACCTCATCCTGGTAATTCACACCTCTGTTGTAGTGCTTCACGCATCTTGAGGAATACTAAAGCTACGTGTTTTCGACATTAGTGTCTGGTCTCGCCGGGGATAGGGGGAACTGGCCACCAGGGAGTTTCTGCTCCTGCCCCCCCCCGTTTTTTATTGGATTTTTAACTGCGTCATCCAGTTCCACGAATACGATTTTGATTCAGTCCCTCGCGCTCGTTCATTCACCCGTGAGCAGACGCTTAACTGCTCGCACTGACCACACCTTACTTATAATAGGAGTAAAGGCAAGATGTGTGAACTAAACAGAGGTGTGCGTGTGTTTGGACGAATGTGTTTGTATAAAAACATATGAATATGTGTATTTAGGCGAACTCGTGTGAATGTATATGTAATTATGTATGGTAGTCTGTGCCTTGAATATAGTACAGTAGTAGTGGTGATAGTAATAATATTAATGGTATTTCTGTATAAGGTTTATTTCTGTGAATTGACTACACATACCGTTGGATATCAGATTATATTGTCAATCAGTCAGTCAAAGGTGGAGATCAAGATCACGTAGTCTAAATAGTCACTATTTTTATTTTTATTTTAGCGCCAGACACATGACCGCTTTGAGTTGTCTTGTGTTGAAGATTATCTCCCTTAGAGGTATCTCAGGAAACATGTTTGGCCGACTTCCAACAGAGGTCGAGGTCACTGGTTGTTTTATTTGTATCAAATAAACAAAGGGGACATTACAAAGGTACTCAAACTATCCAACCAGGTGCGAACTCGTAACAATGGTTTTAAATAAGACAAATTTAGATTTAGGCGCGAAATAGGTAAACATTGGTTTGAAATAGAGTAGTGGACGAGTGGAACAAGTTACCAAACATCACATTAACTCGAATACGCTGGATAGCTTCAAACATAGGTTGGGTGGATATACGAGCAATAGGGGTTGGGTGTAAATGGGACTGCCCAGTATGGGTCAATAGGCCCGCTGCAGTTTCCTCCATTCTTATGTTCTTATATTTCAAAAACTGGTGACGGTGTCCAGCGGGTACCAACACTTAGCCCTAAAATGGGTAACAGGCCAATATCCAACTGGAGAAACGTTGGTCGTATTTGGTTGTCGACTCAGTTTTGTAACAAATCAAGTTGAGTGTTATTATTATTATTATTATTATTATTATTATTATTATTGAAAATCAAACTAAAATAAATGAGGTGTCGTGTATTTCAGTACAGATAACTAAGAACCGATGCTCCTTGTAGATGATGGTTACTACCAGTATGTGTCGGTGTGTGGACAGTTTTTAATTTATTTTATGTTATATAGTACGTAGCTAAGGACGGTATGCAAAATGTTGTTGGCACTGTGTCAGCAAGCATTGTCGTGTCCACATCATGTTAGGCTTCCCAGTCCTTTTAAAGCACACACATTATGGGCAGATGTGGTGGCTTCCTCGCCAAGGTCACAACAAGCCCCTAAGGGCACATCTTTTTTGCCTTGGCCTTAACGGCCTTGTCTGGTGTGTCGACATGACCACTACTGCCACCAGACCACAGTTCATGAAGGGGAGAAACCACCCATTGTTGTGATAGATTTCGCAGAAGCTATAGAAGACTAATTTGCACTATGTAACGCTTCTTATATCACGTGACAGAAAGGCATGGAGGTTATGTATTAAGAGTATGTATGTGTACCTGTGTGTATATGGGAGTATATTTGTGTACGTGGACATGTGTATTATAAATAAATGTTGCTTATCTCTAGTTACCACGAGTATATAAGTCTGGTTAAAGTTGGACCTCTGTATGTCAAGTTATGTTAATGTGTCGAGGCTGCACGGGTCACGCCTCGCTGACGCGCTGCTCTATATCATTACTTCACAGGTCACACTGTATATACTTGTCGTCTCTTCAATTCTATCTCCCACACGGATTTATGTGTAGCCTAGTAAGGTTTCATGCTTACATTTAACATCCATTGTGTGCGCAATATGTAGATCATATTCTAATGCGTTTTTTTTATTTATTGTTATTGGTATTTATTTTATATGCTTCATGAAACACATTATATGATAGATAAAAATCACTATGCTTGTCAGTTGTCACATTTATACAGTAAATATTATCTCGACGTATTTTAGCTGTATCCTAAGCAGTGTTTTGTTTAAGGTTGAAAAATGTATTGATTTGTCTGTCACCAAAAAACAAAACTTTCTTCCTAAAACATAAAATTGTCGAATTTTGAGGCAAATTAACATAGGCTGACGATGATATTATGCTCGACTTACGGTGACGTCACTCAGGGGACGATGGTGCGGGCTTATTTCTGGTGACGAACTAAAATCCAGAGGAATTTGGCCGAAAAGCCGTGCAACTTTTTTGCATATGAACTCGTTGTGCCAGTTGGAAAAACACGGAGTCTTGCTATGTTTTTACTGGTTGTCGGTCATGCAGATGTTTCATTCCCGAAATTTTCATGTACTGTACAGTAGTTGAGGAATGTGTGTGTTTATAAGTGTGTGTGTACGTGTCCCCTACAGATCTGGTACGGGCGGCCCTGGAGCAACGGATCACAGGCGAGGAGCTTGTTATGGAGGTTAGTAGCTGTTGCCATCTTAATATTTACCCTGAATATGATATAAACCCCAATAGTCGTTCATTATGACTGAGGTCTGATAGTAATGGCTAGAATAAATATGAATTCACAAGCACTTGGATCGGTCTACCAGTCACTTCTTAGCTTGTCTTTTTTTAATGAACTTTATATAGAGCTTCATAGTGTGTATAATTATGTCATGTTGTGTTGACAGTCGCTGCAGGCAGAGCCGGGGTTCATTGCGTGTATGGGTGTGTTCGCCACGCTGGCAGTAGGGGTGCCGCTGCTGGGCCTGCTGGTGTGCTGCTGCCGCCTGTGTGGCCGCTGTGGGGGCAACAAGACCCAGCACCATCACACTACCTGCTTCCACTGTCAGAGGAGGACACTCACCGCCTCCCTCTCTACGATATCCTGCGCCATTATGTGAGTCTCTCTCACTCTCTCTCTCTCTCTCTCATTATCAGCTGTTTGGCTTCTTATAACCTTATAATTAAAAGTTTGTAAACTCCATTTTACAGTCATAATACAAAGACAGCAAAAAGTGGTGTAAGAGTTCATATGTATTTAAATGTTGAGGCATAACACGAGGAAGAAAAGTTTGTGTTGGCTGTTAAATACACTTTTCTGGAGGAGCAATGAAAGGGGTAAATCTTGTTGTGTTAGATAATATGCAAGGTGAATCTCTTTGTTATTTGATGTGTTAGAAGTGTAAACCAAATATCGGAACAAGGAACCTTAGGAGACAGGAGTATAATTTGGTCACCCTCACACAGGCTTGGCATGGTGGTGGTATTGGTGAGTAACGAGAGGCTAGGGGGCGCGGTGGGCGAGGCGCGTCACAGCATCAACAACAACGTGAAGGACCTCGACACCTTCCTCGCCAATACCAAGATGCAACTTCGATACCTCGTCACCGATTCTCTCGAGAAGACTGTCCAGGTCATGTACAATGATCTTGACGGTGAGTGGGGGGTCACGTTAAACAAATCCTGTAGAGAGACATGAGATGTAAATGCTACAATATAAACATATAATGTAAATGCAAACGTATTCACATCCATTTACAATGAAACAATTACTAGTTCAAGTTTACGAATCCCCTTTAAAAAATGCCGACTTACTTACCTAATATAGATATTTTTTTCATTAGAGCTGATTCAGGAAATTCATTTTGTTATTATTTATTTTAATTTTTGTAATGACATTTCACAGACATAGAGTACCTACTGGGTCGACCACTGCAGCGAGAACTGGCGGCTGAGGCACAGATAGAGGTGGCCCTAGACTCTCTCCTCCATATCAGCAGCAGTGAGTAGTGACGGCCACCCTGGTCCTTTACACTTTAGAGTCCGGGTTCTTAAAGTAATCTGTATTTTAATTTTGACTCCTGACTTATGTGTTAATTAAATGCATGAGGACAGTGAAGTTTTAAAGCTATGGTTGACGTTATTTTTGTGCCTTAGTTTTAGTTACTAAGTTGCATTATGTTAGATTTGAGTAGGAAAGATCATCTGTGATTATATGAATGATGTAAAGTAACTGATATATAATGTGTGTGTTTATGAGTTGATGTATATATGTGTACAGTATTAACATTACCACTACCTCGGGAGAACTGTCAGGTAACATGAGCTTTGGAATTAACTCTTGCTATTTTATCATAGGTCTGCGGGACATAGCAGGTCGCATGCGGGCATTGGAAGAGTCCAGATCGCAGGCAGCAGCGCGCGCAGAGGAGGTGAGTGAGTGTTTCTCCCTGGACGTCAGCAGAGGATTTACAACATGCATGATTCTAAATTAGTTAAAAACGATAACATATCTTGGTGTCCGATGAGGAAGGCTATGGCGATCATTTATTTAGCAGTTGTCATGTTGTTCAGCAATAAACAAAATACTGTATACACAATTTAAAGTTAATTAAGATTTGTTTTTACCTTTAAGAGATGTCCACACTATTAACTCCCATCTTGTACTGAACGACAATATCCCGAGGTCATAAGACTTTACTGATACTTGGGTGTGTTGCAGCTGCGGGGACGCCTGTCAGAGCTGTCTGCTGATATACAGAGATTTGTGTCCCGTTGTTCTCTTGAAGACCTCGATCTCTGCAATACTCTCGACCCCAGCGGCCTCGACCTCGGGGCACGCTTTGACAGTGTGAGTTAATCAATCCAACATTGTCTGTCTTAGTGAAGTTATTTAATCTTTGATGTAGTGAGTGTTGTCGTATGCTGAAACACTAACACAAGAGTAAAATTCATTGTGGTTTTGACTGAGCTTCATATCACTTGAACTTAGATAATAAAATACATCTTATTGCTATCAATTTAAAATGTGTATTAGTTTATGCTGTGTTATATTTGTCTAAGAAGTTATTATGGCTTCAGATAGCGGGAAAACCAACAGCAGCCAACGCTCCCTCATTTTTTGTGTTGCAGTTCTCGTTCTCGGAGCAGCTTCGTTTACTGTCAGTCGTGGAGAACCATAACCTGACAGAGACGGCCAGACACGCCAGGTTCGAGTTTGAGAATATTCCAAACTACGTGAAGATGATGACTCGCACCACCAGGGAAGGTACGACCCCCTCCCTACTATCATGATCTCTCCCTATCAAGACCCCTCCCAGCCATGATCCCTCCCTACCATGACCACTCCCAGCCACGACCCCTCCCTACTATCACGACCCCTCTCTACTATCACGACCCCTCCCCACCACGACCCCTCCCAGCCACGACCCCTCCCTACTATCACGACCCCTCCCCACCACGACCCCTCCCAGCCACGACCCCTCCATACTATCACGACCCCTCCCCACCACCCCGATAAAGATATGTTTGGCTTAACTACTATATTGTGAGGAACTAGATGTATTTTTTTATTGTTTGTGTTTTGGTTTAGGTAGTGATTAGTTTGTATTGCCGCCAGGATGACTAAATTAATGGCTGAGGGGGATGCCAGAGGAGTGTATTTATACCATAGTTGATGTAGAAGTACTGTATTTGGTTGAACCTTAAGTTAATAGGACTCCGGGCTCTTTTTACTTTATGTCATTCTGAGTTTTATATGGTTATTCCTTGGAGCAGATTGGAGTATGACCTTTATCTCGTGTGTCAGATGTGAAGCGCGTGATGCGGGCTCTCCGGGGGTCGTTGTACTCCAAGGTGCGCAGTTTTGACGACATGGCCTTCAACCTCGAGATGCGCACCAGAGACCTCACCTGGCAGGTAGACCAGGCCACTGCCACCCTCCAGGACCACGAGAACTACAGGTGGTATTCCGTCCTAGGTATGTCCTCCCTACACTTCTCGTACCTGTACATTTTGAAACTTTAATACATAAGTCATATACTGTACCTCTAATTCTGATTTGTTTTGGTGAATATGTGTACAGTAATGGCTGGCATGAGACTGTAGACTAATATGGGTAAATTAAGAGTACCTCATAGTAAATTAAATAATATATCATCAATTTGTTCAAATCTTTATGTAATGTTATGTATAAAAGATGAAGATATATAGCAACTAAGCAGGTGTCGGTTCTTGCAGCCATCTCCGTGAGTTTGGCGTTCGTGTGGCTGCTGATGACAGTGGGCGTGTACTGCGGGTGTTGTGCCCACACCGCCGACCAGACACCTACGGAGAGGTCGTGTGTCTCCAACTCAGCTGGCCAGACACTTATTTCGTGAGTCTTTCCTGTTGTACGTCTAAGAAGGGATAAATGTTATTTATTTCTGATGTTTTTATGATATTTATTGTGTTCACCAATCTTTCAAAATTATTCACAGACACTGTAAGTAAAACTCTGACTCTTGTGCTGCTCAGTGATTTTATTGATATAATTCTTTTTATAGTGTTTATGTAGATTGTGTCTAGTAGAGTAAATAATCAGTAAATAAACCAACACATCAATTTCCCATGGAGAGGTCATGTTAAACTGGCCCCCTGTTGTGTCTATATGTCCAACTGTCTGATTAACTTTATCTGTTAATTCTTGAAGAGCAGCAATAATCCATGCATGATTCACAATAATGAAAAAAATCTGTGGTATAAACAAGAAGCATTTTATTTATATCGCTATTGTAAATTTTAATCTTGTGTTACTTTACCTTCGATTCGTTTCTCAGTGATTACCGAATTAGCCAATCAGACGCTGATGCTCTGACAGATGATACCTGTTTACATATAACCGTATGGCATCAGGGAAAAAGTTTTGAGCTTTGAATGCTTACAAAAAAAACATTAGGTGAAGGTCAAGTAACTGTAGTAATTACCAAAGATGATAAAAAATAAATAAAAAACAATGAATCATCCAAACTCTCCCACACACACATTTGACATTACCTTGTACTGTATGTTCTTTATAGGTCAGTGTTCTTCATGTTCCTGATGTCCGGGGTGTTGTGGACGGTGGTGGTGGCAGTGTTCGTCTTAGGTGCCCACGCCCACGCCTTCATCTGCCATCCGCTGTACCAGGAGCCCAACTTCGTCACCCTCACAGACCTCCTTGACAAATCCGGCTTGGTCTTCCACAACGGTCCTGTCCTCAGCAACATAATCCACCCGGGCCGCGACGTCCACCTCAGCTTCGGGCAGGTCCTCAGGTGATGACTCTTGTGTTACCTTGGTTAATGCAGAAGGATTTTATTGACACACCTGTTATGTTTTCGCCAGTAGTGAGTCTTTTTCTTAATGTGTCTCCTTTATGTACTTTGATATTCATATATATATTGAAGCTGTTTATGTATACCCTCCAACACCACTGTTATAATAGTTAGTGGAGTAATTAGGAATGTAGCAAATTTCTTAATGATGCAAAGATAAGTGATTATAACAAGGGTTCAAAATATGTACTAACTGTTTTCAGAACTTGTGTGTGCGAAGATGACATTTATAGAGTTTATTGGCGTACAAATCAGTGTCATGCCAATTTTAAACTCGTGAACTTAAACCTTAAAGCTTTTTGGGGCTATATTAACAGACACAAGTTCCAAAAACAATATGCATACCTTGAACTGATGTGTCTTAATAGATGAATAATTCATATATGAGCGTATGTGTGTCTGTCTTTGTTGTACAGCCGGTGTAAGGAGGGCGAGACAGCCTATGAAGTGTTTGAGCTGCGTCACTACTTCGATGTAGAGCGGGAGGTGGACCACCGCACCACCCTCGACCTCCGCCAGACGCTGGGCCAACTCAGGGTCAACCTCTCCCAGGTTGAGTTCCTCTCTCCAGAGGCCGAGACCCACCTCAACAACTTCCTCCTCTCCATCAAGCTCGACCTTGGACCATACAGGAGGGAGGTGAGTGTGTGGACCATCAGACACATACTCACACAGTATTTCCGTGTCAGGGATTTTAATTATTTAGAAGTAATACTGACCAGAACCCAGATTAAAAACTATACCTTAAAACCTTGAAAAGACTTGGTGACAATATTCCACCACCGACAGATGGAGAAGCCGCTGGTGCAGAAGAACATCCCGGCCTTGACAGAGCAGATGCAGAATGTGGCGGGTCAGCTGCGATCTGTGTCTGCCTCCGCCGAGCTCTTCAGGATGGTGGCGCGGACCAGGAACCTCGTGACCAACACCCTCTACCCTCTCGAGAAACGCAAGGTATTGTACCTCCCGCCTCACCAGTCACCACCCTCAGTTTCTCGTTCCTGAACTTGTAACCAGTTCCTGTTCACTCTTGATTGATTTCTCTGTACTGTAGAATCTCAAACCTGTACACCCATACAGTAGGGGTAAGATAAGCATTGCTTTAACTTCGACTTCTTGGACTTGCTACACTGCCCTCTACTCACCTGTACGCTCTGGCTACCTCTGATTAGTCTATTCTTTGTGGGACTCAATCTCAAGCTGACTCATTACTGATGCATATTAATATCTGCCCCCCTCCCCCTACACACACACACACTAAAAATACAGAACACATTATACGATTATTATTGTTATTTTCTTGTTTTCGTTACTTTTAAATATATTCACAATATATGTTTAAATTATTACTAACATAAGATGAGATAATTTATTATAGCTGAGTTATGTGTTACAGGAGGACGTGACCTACCAGGTGGCTACGCTAGACATGGAGGTCATGCCCCTCCAGCGTCAAATCAACCAGAGTGCCGGACACCTTCGTACCATCCAGTACTTCATCCATAACCACGGCTCATCCCTCGCTGCCTCGGTCTGTACCTCATGATAGTCAGTAGCGCTTCTCCCTCTCTGTCTGTTTACATTATTGACTGTTCACAGTTAAATGTCGTTCTCCCTCAGTCTACACAGTGACTGAATGTTGGTGAATGTACTACAGTATTTCGTTTCTTTGTGGCCCTTAATCAGTTTCTCCATCTATTGTTTACATTACACAGTCTTCCTGTTTCCCTTAGAGTTTGTTTATTAACGCTGATAATTTATTTGTCTTACTGGAACAGAAAGCTCGAGCCTACGTGGAGAGGATCCTGAGCTACATGAGGCAGTACACTGACCACGTCCGTAATGGAGCCCTTCACCACGTGGCACCCTGCACACCCTTTTGGAACCTATTCGACTCTGCTCGCGGCATCACCTGCAACGGCATCATAGAACCTGTGGTCAGTGCTATCTGCTGAAGTCTCTCTCTCTCTCTCTCTCTCTCTTTGTATGATTTGGGAATGCATCTTTACTCTCCTTCACTAATCCCTTGGAACATTGCACATGGCTTACTTGAGGTCGGGAACATTGGCACGCGCTGATTTTTCTTGCTTACAGAATGCACTATGGTTGGCGACAAGCTGGTGTCTACTGCTCTTCCTTCCCAGCATATGTATTAGTCTGAGTCTGGCACGCTACTACCTTCGCATGGACTCTGATGATGACATTCTACCGCTGTGAGTTGATGTTTTGCGTATACTCTCTCTCTCTCTTCCTGCCATTTGTTGGTCTGTCAAAGTAAACTGTGTAAATAAGTAAAGTAAGAATATAACAAATATTTCCAGTGTATGTATGATGACTTGCTTTTCTCTCTTGTTGTAGAAGTATATTTTACATGTTTTTGTCTCTCTTGTACAGTTTGTTTTGTATTAAAGTTCTGTATAATTTTATCATAAACAGTGAATCATTATTTTTATATAAAAGTTTCATACAAGTTTCTAAAGTTACTGAGGATAAACAGACACTTGTTAGACCTATGAATACAAAGTTTATATAGAATGATCTATAGAAAATACAGGACAAGAATATCAACACATAGTGAAGTGTTGTGTCATTCTTTTAGGCACTCTGACGGGTCACCACAAGAGTCCAGCACCAACATTCAGTTAGGGTCATCGACAGCCATGTGGGGATCCAAGCACAGTGGAGGGACCAGAGGCCATCAACACTCCTACCTGAGTCCTCCACAGAATGGGTGAGTTGTGTGTGTGCTGTGGCTCTCTGTAGTATGTAAGCAACCCTTGTACTAAACTCACCAGACCTGTAATAATGTCATTACATAGGTGTTGGTCCCACACGATGTAGTTCCCAGTAGCTGTATTAAAAGGCGTGGGCTACAAGATAATACTAGTACAGTATCTCTATATTTTTCTGACAAAGAAAGAAAGCATATTTGCTTTCAGGGCTGAGGCCAGTGAACCACCTGATCGGGATTACGGGGTTGTGAGACGTGCAGCTCAGCCACGCAGAGAGAGAGGAACCCAGCCAGGCAAGGACGCGGAGGAGTTGCTGGCTCAGGCACAAGTGGCTGCTTGGCGTGACGCATGGAAGGCTGGGGCCACCTTCGTCACCCTGGAGCTCGTGGCTTCGCACGTTCATCGCTCAATCGAGTGGGTCCGCCATCACTGGCATGACGACCCACACTCCCTGGCCACCGCGCTCAATGTCTGCAGTGAACTTCGCGACGAAGAACCGAGGTCCACCTCTCCCCAAACCCACCATTACTCTACCTGTGGGGACTGTTGTGAAAATTCACATTCCCTGTGAGATAAGTACTTACTGCTGCTCTCACACCCAGCACACACTATGCCCACGCCACACCTATCCCAGGTTTGTGATACACCTGACCTAAGACACCACTCACCATATCAGACTCTTGACCCAGAACCTGTGTTTCGTCACTGCTTCATCGAGGCTTGCTAGTTAACCTTTAGATGCATGATCTCTAGATTTTCACTGTCTTAATAACTGTAAGGTAATGTGTTCACTGGTGGTCCTCATTATTGTCACAACATTGTCACCAGACACTAAATTTATTTTTCTCTGCAAAGTCAATTTATCATAATTTTGGGTAATAATCTGTGGTGTAGTTTCCTAGAGTTTTATAAAAACATTCTCCTAGTCAATATTTTTTTCATATATTCATTTAAATTCAGATTAATCTGATACGTGGTGTAAATTTTATCCGAACCTTATATACCAGGAGAGTGTATTGAGGCACAGTTATGTAGCATGTTAAGGCAGAGTATGTAGCCTTCTACAGCGTGTCTGTGTGTTCTACAGGCACAGTCACTGGTGAGTCTACGTCCTCGTGTAGCCGTGACCTGCCAGCTGGATCACTGACTCAATCAGCTGCTGTCCTCACACCAAGTGAACTGGTGTGGTGTGAAGCACTCCTCCATGGAGGACGAAATTTGTAACTGTCGGGGTCCCAAAATATACAGTATAGTGAAAAACATTCATTTAGGCATATTTTTTATTTTAACTTTTTGTGATTAAAGAATTAAAGGTCGTGGAACCAGATTCTGAGATCAAATATGACGGGTAATTTGTAGGTGATATTAAGTGGAAATTTTCAAAATATCTGTACTATTGTACAGGTGTGTAAGTTTGAGGCCTAGGAAGGGAGGAGTGTTTCCCACCAGCCGTCGACAGATACGAGAGGAGCCACCAATGTTGTGTACAGGGTTGGTCACATCATCTGCTACCCCACCTGTTGTCTTTTTATGTGTAGGATGTTTTATGCCTTAAGTAATCGTCTATTTATGTTTCATTAAGATAAATTTATTTATTTCTCATGTCTTTTATACCACAATGAAAAAATTTGTGTAAAGCTCAGGAAAAAATAAAACAAAAATTATTTAATGTTTTTTTTTATTTATTTATTTACTTATTATCTGACAGAAGAAATGGGCGGGCCCGGGGTCGGTAGTGGGGGCCAAGGGTGAGTAATGGGGGCCAGGGTGAGTAGTGGGTAGCTAAGGATGGGTACAGTATTGGGATAGTGGAAAGGATGGGGAATAGTAAGGATAGTAGCTATAATTAATCCAAATATTTTGAATTTAATAATTTTGCAAGTTCATATACAGTAATTTTTATTTTGTGGGACACTTAAGGGATACAGAGCGTGTGGTGGTGCAGACGACCCACCTCACCCTACATCTCCTCTTGGCGTGTGGTGGTGCAGACGACCCACCTCACCCTACATCTCCTCTTGGTTATGTCACTCATTAAGGATTCTGCTCTTTGTGTGGATTAAGTTATATGAGATGTATTGTTTGTTTTGAGTGTTTATGGTGTTTTTCAGAGTGTTGTGGTGGATGGCTGGGTGTTAGGTGTGCAGAGCATTAATTCAAGACCTGGGTGATTTTTCATTCAGTTTTTTGTAATTCCTTTGTTTATATGTACATCTTCCTCTTTTTTATCAGTTTTTGTTCCAGGTGCATATTGTGGTTTAATTCACAAGTCTTTGTTTATTAAAATGTACAGTACTAGTTCTTGGTTATGACGTGAGATCTATTTTGGTAGATATTTCACTCAAAACAATTTAGAGTAACCTGGAGAGCCTTTCAGAAAATATCTAAGACTATTTCCCCATTCCAGGTTATGTAGATAAGTGTTAATTATGAAGGTTTATACAGCTGCACCACCATCACCACTTGCAGGGCGATGACAGTGTGGTTGACGAATAAGTAAAGTTAGAAGATGTACAAACTATCACCACCACTCGTTACGTATCCCTGAGTATCCTTGTGATGTGAGAGTCAAAGATGTGAGTGTGAGCCTCGCCCCTCCCTCTCCGCCCCGGGCCGCCCACCCCCTCACAACAACGTCCAGCAGTGAGTGCGGGAGACACCCACTATAACAAAACAGGAATTCGTTATCTCTGGTGAGGGTAGGTGGTGCGGGTCAGCTGCAGGTCGTGTTGGAGCTGCAGGACACATGCTGATCATAGCGCTGGTCTAACTAAGAGTACAGGTGAGAAATATTAATGGTTGTAGAATTCCCAAGTTATTTTCCCCGTGTGTATAAAACAGTTACCCCCAAGAGCAGACTATAAAGTGCATTGTGATTGTCAGTCTGGTGAACGTCCTCGACCCCAGTTATAAATTTTATCAACACTAAGAGATTGATAAAACCAAACCGCTAACATCCTTGGAGGTTATGAAGACGTTTGGTTTATTGACAGTACCGTGATCCCTTAAAATATTACCACGAAACTATATAATTTATGGTTTTCCCCGAGATAATCATTATTTTTTTTTATATTACTGTTTTTCCAAAGATTGTAAGATCCCCTGATTAACATGTCCGTATCAATGATTAAGAAACACATTTAAACGTATTAGTGTTATCGGTATCATTAAAGTTAGGGCGTGTAGGCAACAATCTAGTACTTGTGTGAGGATGTGATGGCTGCCAGTTCCATGTTGGGTGACCTGAGGTGACCCGGCCCGCGCCTGACCCACAGGTTGGTGATAGAGACAGAAAACGGAACATTGAGACGGAGGGGAAACAGCTAGTGAAGTGGCGGCGCTCCTCAGGATGGTCGTCACGCGCCTCACCACACACACACACACACACACATACACCTGCCACCCTCACTGCCCATCACCGCTCTACTGTTATGAGTCACTACTGTTGCAACTGTTGATGAGTGGAGTAATCATGTGGACAGGAGACCAGGTGTATGTGTGGTGCTCATCCTACTTAGAATCGGCCACTAAGAACTTAAGTCCCTCAGTTCCCCTCCAACCCTCCCTGAAGAACACAGCCACAGCTAAACTATTGACATTATTGCCTTTATCTACTGAACTTCAGAGAATACTCTTATTACCAGGACTTTTCTCAAGTCTCTTTGTGGAGTATTTTACAGTACGTCAAGAACATTATTCGCCTCTACAGTACTGCTGCATTGGTTAATGTGGAACAACGACTTCATAATTTGTGTACTAAAGTTAGTTTGCTTTGAGTGTGATAACGACATGCTTAATACACACAAGTCTATCATATGATTAAACTCAATATTCTTCTCTTTGACTATAAAGTAGGTTTTTCACTTCTAACATCTCTAATAATACAGTTTATAATTGCTAATGATGGACTTCAGATTCGCCTCATTTGTCAGTTACTCGTCGAAACTGGTGGACGTTGGAAGGTGGCCAAATAAGGTCCTGAACATTACTGAGAGAAGACACCCGAAAAAAGACCCTGAAATTCGAGGATTCCCTGACCATGTGAAGAACTAACAACACAGGTTAACTACTTATACCTGGGCCATGACGCTCCCTCGCCTGACATCACCGAGGATGAGAACCCATGACGCTGCTGACGACGCCACAACTCACTTCAGCTACTGTACCTTCTTGCCCGAACCAGTCTTGTACTATTTTAGCAGCTCACCATCAGGAGTGGTATTTGCTCGATGCATCATTTATAGTGAGCTAAAGTTAGTATAGAAGGGTTAGTTGGAATGTAACGAGATGGCTATCACCACTTCGTAACATAATGAGTCCTAACAGCCAAGGTTTGTGAGTTATAGGGATTTCAACACGCTGCAGTCATTGGGTTAACATTACAAGTGACGCCAGTGTTTGGGTGAGTCAGCCCTGTAACATAGAGGCACTGTCTCTAAAACATCATTAATGTAAACAGAAGCTTGACAGTAATCCAAGCCATCAGCTATCGGTACAAGATCCTTCTTTATAGGCAGTGAGCGTCTCTTCCTATCATTAACCAAATCCAAACTCCAGCCATCCTAATCGACTGTAATTTACCAAAGTCCAAATGTGGTTACTTTATTATGTTGCTAATCACCACGTTACAGGAAAGTTCGAGTTGGTTGGGTTGTAAATGACATGTAAAAGAACCGAGCTGCTCAAGCCAGGATAATCCCCAGTCAACAGCTGTAGTGTAAACGTGAGGTTCCACTGAAGACCCACCATTGTTATGGGGAGAAGCAGTTTCTTACATCTACACGACACTGAGAGCTGTGTGTTGAGGTGCAGGCGTGTATAGTGCAGCCACATGTATCAGGCTGCCTGCTGGGTCCCGCCGGGTCCCTACCTCACGCTCAACCTTCACAACACACTACAACCTCACTTATCCTATATAGAAAATAATTACATATTCAATTAGCTCATAGGATTTATACAAGAGCGTTTAGCTGTAACATGATATAATATTTACTTAACATACACAATACAATTATTCGCAATAACGACATTTGTGCAAGCCATACTCAGTAGCGGTGGAGCGTCGCAGTTGAAGCTGAGGGGTGAGGTGTGGGCGGGGAGGGGGGGTACATAACGCCATTGGTAAATTATACTCACTGTGCATTAACTGATTATTAACATCTGTGGTTACTACTGTGCCTCGGTAATTCTTGACGTGTACTGACATTGAAAATTTTAACGTTACAAGTAAATCCATCTTGTATTTACTCTATATTACTTTATAAGGGAAGGTTGTACAGTTTTCAATATAAGGATATTCTATAACATTGGTTTTTGAAACAACAGGTGATCATTCCTGGACTCAGTGAGGACAGTAAATGGCCACTTTTGTAATTAGGTAACCATCATGAATCAGAGAGATTTATACTATGTTAGATAATCAACTGTGACGCCCTGAGAGTCACTGACGGTGTTACCAGCCCTCCTCACCTCACCTGAACCCTCCCTCCACCGTGTCCTGATGGCCCTCAGCCTACAAGAGCAATTGTTATTGTTCCCGCTTCAAGAGTCGGCGACGAGTCACTGGCTGGTCAGTAAGTTTTATCATCCTTTATCCCGCTGTTCTGCATAGCATTAGCCTCCTTATTGAACACTGGCAATTGGCTCCAAGTCGCCGAGTACTAAGACATATCATCCCACTATGATAACTATAAATTGCTCTGTTAATATATAAACCTGATTTGTTTTGCATCGCTCTCAGTCACGAAGAGAATTAACCAGAATTTGAGGGTAAAGGAAGAGGTGCGGCACTGAGATACAATATCGATTGTTAGTTAATTCTTAGTACTTATTAACTGGTTGTAATGACAAATGCCAATATGAATATTGTCAATATTATTATGTTTATAAAATTGAAGCTCGTTGTACATGGGCAAGTTCTTCGTTTACAATGCAGAAAAAATAGGAAGAGTCCAAGGTAGGGGTGAGAACTGCCTCTCAGGTCCTTGTGTAAGCAACAACATAAACAAGGCTGTCAGATTAATGCACCCGCGACGCACCTCTGCTTACAAATGCATTCAATAATGTTTCTAACAATTTCACTCATTGTTTACAATTGGGAGTACTTTAGTGCACTTGTTGAAAGTATGAGAACGTCTAAATACTAAACAAAGTAAACATGCAGCATGTACTGTACACCTCTCAGTACTGGTGGATGAACTGTCAAGCTGAGTCATGGGTGAGTGTTTGTACTCACGGTGTTTCATAAGCATGCAACACAATTTTTGGCTTGGCAAGAACACTGTGGTTGTCATATAATAATAATAGTAATCTAAATTATTTAACATTCAATGCAGTGAGTGATGATTCACATCTAAGTGACTCTCTTACATGGACCATCACACGTCTTCACTCGCACTGTTACATTATACAAAGAATAAAACTTAGCACTTTTAACATTAGGCTTTAAAATAAAGGGAGCATATAATGGCATTTGAAAATCCTGGTTGGGTGGCAAGTTGGTGTCACCGAAGGAGTAAGGACACTCCCCAGTTATCTCAGGTAAAAATCACCTGGACTTGAGATAATTAAGTTTACCAAAACAGTAAGTCCCGAAACTTGTAAGTTAGTTAAGATGACCAAGAGGTATATGCTCATAGTTTTGAAGTTGACGCAGAGTGGAGGTGAGAGGTGTGGTGGTAGTGTTGGAGGTGTGGTGGAAGTGTAGGTGGTGTGGTGGTAGTGTTGGAGGTGTAGTGGTAGTGTGAGGAGTGAAGAAGGTGACATAAGAAGCCTGGTTCGTGATCACTACTGTCCACATACTCTATTGTTCTCTGTCCTGAGTTTGGTTCATAGATTACGCTTTCACCCTTTACTTTTTTCTAGGCGAGCAGGTAAAGAACTAAGATCAATGGTATTTTCATTTTAATATAAATTTGAACTCAGAAAATGTGCATTGTAAACCCCGTTGCTTATTATTATTTTTCGTTACTGGGTTATGACTGTTCTTTATATTCAGGTTACCTCATGAGGTTAAGACTGAGGCCATCGTTTGTCAGTCAAAATAACCCACCATTATAGTACACTGAGGAGGCCAGCCAGGACCCACAGCCTCCAGATGCTCTACATCGTTTACTGCTTTACACCAGTTGCAGATGGCAACCCAGACAAACTAGTACGGTGTATAGACAGCAAATATCTTCAGTGCAGTAATGGAAATCAAATGAAGGTTGGAAATTATGCACGGTTGAGGTCACTGAACTATTGCTTCGAGTCGGCCGCCCCCTTACTGCCCACGTTACGCTAATGGACCTGGTCTGGTAAGTAAGCAATTGATTTTAGTTAATGGATTTGGTTCCCGCGACTCAAGTAGCCCAGAAACTTTAGTACGACGGGTATAGTGGATGGTTCGGCCCCATGTGGAGGGCAGCAGCAGTGAACGGCAATCCTCCCTAACTCACCCCGGTAGGTAGCCAGAGATTTGTTTATTTCTTGAAGAACTTAAGGAGCTCAAGATATCTACGTGAAGTTATGTAATTCGTATCTCTTATGTATTATGTTTTGGTAAAGTCATTTCTCGTGTTTGTGGAGTAAGGAGGTGTGTACTGTGTCACCAGGGTAGTGTCCCCCTCAGACGAGTCCCGTCCCGCCTCACACGACGCCGTTACTACTTGGTCATCTGGCGAGCACAAGATCCCCAGCTCGGGTATACAGATAAATTTGTCTCACTAGCCCTTGGACTTTCAATTGCCACTGAAATAAATTGTTTTGGAAGCAATTGTATGATAAAAAGAAACTAAGTAATCGGTTGTTGCAGTAACGAGCTTTACAATGAAACAACAGTAGTAGCGTCCTATGAGTGTTGTGGAGAGAATCAAGAATAATTACCATTACATCCAGATAACTCACTTGGATAACCATAAACATGTGTGCTACGAAACAGCTATTGCATCACTATGATCACTAGTTCTATAAAACGATTATCAATATTCATATCTGTAAGTCAGAAGTAGAATTTTGTTTTTATTATTTGTCGTTGTAGAACTGTTGTTGCCTTATTACTTGTGGGGAGTGGACAATGTTGTCTTGCAGAAATACAATCGTAAATCAGTAATTACATAAGTACACCTTGAAACTGCACTAGTAGATCCTTTATTAACTATTGTATTCACATCTGTCTGCTGCATTACGGTACATTAGGACTAATTATATACTTTTGACAAGTTCCTAATCGAAACATTTACCAATTATATCCACATTTGTTCTGTTTGGGTGGTAGTGAACAAGAATGCTGGTGATCACGTTGCATATTACATGAGGTTAATGCCAACCTTAGCTGGTTTACATTGTAGTAGTAATTCTGAATTATTAAACAAAAATTTTCTCAAGGCCCCGACAGTAACAAATGTGTATCACGTTAATAGTTCATAGATCAGGTCGTCATTCTTGCCTTGATGTTCGTGCCTTTACATTGTTTACATCACTACCTAATTTGGCACCAGGTAACATGGAGAGTGTGACCTTTGTTGTGAATGGCTAATTAGAATTACAGTACTGTAGACAGCTGGGTTTTGGTGTCGAGGACAAGAATTTTGTGTTGTGATCCTGAGTCTTAAGGGAGTGACTTCCCTGTTTATCTAAGAGCAAGAGTAAATATATATCACTTTGTAATCCCGTGTTCACTCTACTCTGCTCGTGACACACGTACACAGCACTGCTTTTGTTTATACTGTACACACTGTCCTGTCGGGGCTGTTTAAATTTATTGACTAATACCGTCCTTATTTTCATAAATAACTAAGTAGTAAGCAGTGTACTTGAGCGATAGTTTATCAAAATTCGGAAATTTGTGAATTCCTTTCCACAAGTTTGGGTTCCCACAGAGAGGAGGTTGTGTGGGGCGGGCAGCAGCCGGGGTGCAGGAGTCATCGGCTTACACATCAAGTTTTGTACAGTCTTGGCCTCCATTAGTAGAAAAGTCAGATGAATAACTCTAGTCCGAGAGAAACTGAGTTATTCAGATGAAGCACTTTTGTATAACAGAAACTGACATGTGGCAACAGATCTGGCATTACTAGCAGCTGTTTCTTGTGGTACTGTACTATAGTGACGGAGAGCGGCCTCTTGAACGGAAGCTTGGAGAGTAGAACAAGCAGCGACGAGTGTGTGTGCAGCAGCAGTAGCAGCAGCGTGTCGTGCAGCAGTGAGCCGCTTGTGTGTACACCGCTGCACACCGGCTGACCGCCTTCACTGAGACTACTTGTGCGTTTCGGGGGATGATATAACAGTGGTTGGGGCGGGAGGAAAGTCGAGGAGTTTATCATATTCTCTGAACATATTTAACTGTTAACATATTGCTTAACTATTCAGTTCAACTTCAATATAATAGTATAAATAATGCACCTAGGGCACTCCGCGGTATCTCACAATATAGTACATTTGGAGTGTTCGATCGCCTCATGGAGTTCGTGAAGGTTATGAGGGCGGGCGTGCGTGTGGGCATGGGCGTCCTCCACCGCCAGCAAGAGCTCCCTGAACGCCGTCACCACGTGCCAGTTGCACTTGGCCGATACCTCCACGTAGGCGGCCTTCCACTGCTTGCGGACGATGGCCGGTACGTCGCGCATCTCCCGCTTGTCTCTCCCATCCGTCGCCCCCACCAGGTCCCGCTTGTTCCCCACCACCACTACTCCCACCTCACGCATGTCCCGGGACTCGTACACCTGTAACCAAAACACACTTAACACCCGCAGTACACAGTAACTCAGATCTGTTGTGGAATAAAGTATATGACACAAAAAGAAGAGCTGCAGGATCATGATATATAAATTAATTTACTAATAAAACTGTTACACTACCACTGTATCGCAACTGTTATTATTATTCCACAAAAAACAGTAAATTACGGTGAATTTTACCATAGACTCACCCAATATTTGGTAATCAATCAGAAAAAAGTTAGAGTTAATATAAGAACAAGTACCAGCGGTGTGTATTGCCCGTCCATCATCACAGCCGATTAGAATAAAAAAAATGCACGAGGTAACACCAGTATATAATATATCTTAACATTCAATAACACTGTATCATAATATTATTTGTAGTTTCGTCTGTTTTTACGGGTTTGTGGAAAATAATATACCCGGTAGACATTTGTGATTTACATTAGAGATAGCTTCATGTTTACGTGAGTGTTGAAACAGATGACTAAGTTGGTGGCTGTGGATTGACTGACCTGGTCCCTCAGAGCCTTGATGTGTGTGAAGGACTCGTAGCAAGTGAGATCGAACACGAAGATGTAAGCCATGGCTGATCTAAGGCCGTAGAAACGGTAGTCCGCCCACTCAGTGAAGGAGTTCTGAGGGAAGGCTGCAGGAGGGAGGATGGTCAGTATACGCTGTCTACACAATACACATCACACCTACACCCTATAAAAACACTGTAAATAACGTATGCAATACCTAACATAAAATAATAACAAAATAATGCTCAAAAACATATTTTCTCATCCTTTTTAATTAATTCTTATATTTAATTGAACTATTAAAGGCAGACACTAATAAAACCTGGCATCATGCTACTATATGGAATAAATCTCATTAACAATATCCTTCATGTGTCATGTTAAAAAGCAGCTTATTCGGAAACAGTTGCTTATATTTCTATATTTCCTTCACACTAATAGATCATCAAATTTTCAGTGTTATGTGTCTTCAGTGCTTTGTGACCCAATATTTACTGATAATAAGAAAGGACAATGTAAGTAGCAGCGACTCGAACAATATGATGACGTTTTTGCAGGCGATGCCACTGTGTAGATTGTGTGCAAAGTGACTTGAGGTTTGTGTCCATTAGGAAAGTTAACTCAAGGGTCTCTTACCTCTGATGGGCGGCGAGGCTGGTCTCTTACCTCTGATGGGCGGCGGGGCTGGCCTCTTACCTCTGATGGGCGGCGGGGCTTGTCTTTTACCTCTGATGGGCGGCGGGGCTGGCCTCTTACCTCTGATGGGCGGCGGGGCTTGTTTTTTACCTCTGATGGGCGGCGGGGCTGGTCTCTTACCTCTGATGGGCGGGAGGTCGGCTATACAGAGCTGGTAGACCCGGTCGTTGACGAGGACTGAGGGCCAGTGGTTGACGCGGGCCCTGGTTGGCTCGTGGCTCACAGGGAACTCGTTGTGTACGAATTGCTGTAGGGAGAACGAGTGACTAGAGACGCAACCTGACGATTACCTGAGCTACTGTCAACTGTATTCTACTGTCAACTGCATTCTACTGTCAACTGTATTCTACTGTCAATTGTATTCATGGGTCCTGCCTCCCCCGCCACCACGGAGGAGAACCACGTAAAACTGATGTCAAATCGTGTCTGTGTCCCTTCAAACTACGACTGGTAATTGACACCCTAAATGACGTCGACATTGCACTGCGACTCTACCACTGCTTCCTGTGTTTTCATACATAGCTCAGATGATAAGTAAATTACCTAACAGAATCGTGGGGTAATGGTTTGTAAGATAAAACAGAATTTATCGAGCGGCTAGTGTTTATTTGTACGGTCTCACATTTTACTGAACAATTCCGTTAAAATTTAGTAAACAGGATGAGATTAATACCCAATTAAGTGAACATATAGAATGAACATGGAGGCTACGAGGATCATTAAACAGATGGGATAGTGCTGTTGTAAATTGTTGAGTAGCCTCATTAACAAGGATAACAAGAGTGCGATGATCATTATTATTGTTTCATAAATACCAGAAATTAATATAAATAATACATATACATTCTAATCCTTGACCTGAACATAATTATTGAAAATTTATTGAAGTAACTATCGGAGAAATAAGTTGGTTTTTGACACAAGTAATACTGAGGTGCCGGTAATAGTCGACACACGCAGAACATGGCCAATAAATCCAGGAGTTTGTGAGTGTGCTTACGATGTTGTTGCTACATAACACCTTCGCTATCGTAGACACCAGTGAATCTACGAGGTCCATTATAGGGAAGTTGGAGTCATCTGTTATACTGGTATTCTCTACACCATATGACTATTTGTAATTTTAAAAGCCTGTGTGGGTAACAGCATAGGAGTCTAGGGAAGATGTGCATGACACCATGGAGCAGATCATCCAGACCAACATCCGGGAAGACATTTTTCATGAGGGGTCAGAGTGCGGCCGTTCCTGGAACTGCCTATTCCTAGTAAAGTTTGTCTTTCTGTTACTGTGATGAATGTTCCTTCACTCAGAACTATTTATCGGCAGTGCTCTACCAGACAGTCTGCCGGGAATAATTTTTCATAGCTGTTAATAAAAGGGAATCATCGAATAAAAGAGAATACAGTACAATGTTTGTACACGTGAGTATTATATTAACTGAAATGTAATTGTCAGTGTTTGTTCATTAAAATATTTAATACTTCAGAAATTATATTTATGGCGTTGATATGAAAGAATACAGAGGGTTATGAGGCAGAGTTAAACAGGGCGTGAGAAATACCTGTACATGGGAACTTACCTTGATGATGGCGGTCTTGCCCACTCCAGCGGCGCCCAGCACCACCACCTTGACGAGCTGGGACGGTGGGGGCGGTGGCACGTGACCGTTGAGGGGTGGCGGGGCTTCCCCAGAGGAGGAGGAGGGGGCACGGCGTCCCCCTTGGCAGCAGCTGCACCCCCCCGCGCCGCCTCCACCCCTCTGGCCCCCGCAACCCTCACATGGGCCTGAGTCCCACCCGCTCACCACAACCACTGAAATACAAATATCTTATATGGATCGTTGAAAAATATTAACAACGCTGAGTATACTGTTATCACCATTAAGACATTGCAATACACGAACGCTTGGCAGTATCAGTCAAGGCATTGAAACAGCGTGGTGATCCTTTTATGTAACTGCCACAACTATATCTAACCTACCCTATTTAACACTTACTCGATGTATGAAACTAAGGCATCAATGAATGAATAGATATAATGACATTCTTAGATGATGGATCATGTGTGAGGTGAAATCGTTGGTATATTTATATTGGTGAAAGACAGCTTGTGACTTACTTCATTCCAAAAATAACTCATACGTTAACCAGGTCATTATTGTTACGTGTTTTATGTTTGCCCCCCACAAGTAAGAGAAAGGAACGCGATCCTCCTACCAAAGTATTATACATCCTTAACCACAATTTTGTTAACTCGTCTTTTGTTTTATATTTAGTGGCCTAACGATCCACTGACTCAAAAACTTAAATTCTAAAAAAAGATTTAAAAAATTTAGAGAGCCCATTCTTTTTATAACGGGTAAAAATTTGTCTTCCAGTAGCAAAAGACAAAAGTTACACTCCTGTTCTCTTTCTCTTTATCCATTCATATCGTGTATGTTGTTATCAGAGACACAAAAGAAATGCCTCGTATTGTTGTTCCAAAAGTCCATTGAAACTTGGATAGACTACCTTTTGTCTCTTTTTATCTACTAGAGTTTTTGATTCCTCACTTTTTTCTGTCGCTGCCTCTACATATACACTTTCGACTCTCAAAATCCATAAACCAACACATCAAAAATATCAGTTTAGCGGCATACCTTCGGATCAACAATATAACAAGCTACACTCATTATAGTTCGGATAAGCAAGATGATGAATGATTTAACTGTGTATTAAGAGGTGAGGATGTGACCTATATTTAAAGAGTTGACAAGTTGGGTGTGGGTGGAAAGGCAGGAGAGGGGAGGTGAAATTAGAGAGTTGGTTAGCGGGATGAAGAAGGCGTGTGTTGAGGGATTGACTGAGTTAGGAGGATTCTCTAACAAATTTGAACGTATATTTTGGAATCTATAGTATCTCGGTGTAATGTTTATGTTATTTTGTTTTAGTGTTTTAGGTGCAAGGACTATCCATTGTGTAGCCAGACCCAGACGTGAAAAATAGCGTAGCCGTAGTTAACCCAGCGCTTACACCCCGGTAACATGCAGCATAAACATATTAATTCAATCTGTAGAATATGTTTTTTAAATCACTCAGAGCATAACGCTGTAAATATGAAGTACTAATAGTTATACAAGATAAAACTAAAGAATTGTGAGTCGGTTAAGTAGTTTGTCAATTTGATCACATATTTTCAGAACTCCTTTATGCACTGAACAAACACTAAAGTTAAAGTCATATTTTTGCAGAATAAATTATTCATCATAAATTCTAATATGAACTATAACTATAATTTACATTATCGAAAGTACAATTAGTTACAATTAACACAGTTGATGGCACGCCAGTAAATTACATTAATCTTTATTTACAATGACTATTAAAACGATTCGTAGTTGATTATTACATTCACACACGTAATATGTCTACAGTGAGGTATGTACACTAAGTTTAAAATTGAGAAAGTGTATTTTTTTCATTGGTTAAACTGTGAAACTGGAGTATAAATGATTGTATTTCAAATTGATGTAGGAACAGAAGGTAAACCACTTTATTAAATATGTTATTGTCGGTAAAACTCCTACAAAGCCAGCAGGATACCGCGACATACACAGAGACATACAAGAGGGAATATTCGTTAAAATTTATTCCGGCTGGGTGTAAACTTACTGCACAAACAAATGGCTTAACTAGCAATCTGGGAACTGATAACTACCTGTTTAGTTCTGTGGTCCAAGGAAACCTCCCGTCATCATATAAAGTATTCCCCCCAAAAAATCTGACTTCCTGCATAAACTTTTTGTTGGCAGGATATTACTGTAGATAATATATACTGTAAATTCTGGGATAACATGAATTATTGTCTTTACTAAATCGAGCACATCACGATTTATATATACCACTCGTAAAAGTTCACTGCTGTAAGTCTCCCACTAAATAATTATGTGGTCTAAATATTAGCTTGGTAAATTACTAAATGTATAATAACTAAGCGAAATAAGTTCATAATGAAACTGTAGCTTAAGCGAAATAAAATAACGATAGAATTTAGTTAGTGACGATGCTCCATGTCAAACAGTAGGTGCAGTATATTCTTTCTAAATAGACTATTATTGGTAATATTTTGTCTTTCCACACTATATATTAAAATAAATATATTTAAATATATATTAATATGAATACCTTTACTGTATATGATCACATCTAGACAAAATGTGAAGCAAAAAATAAATTACAAATGCGGAATATTGGAACCATTTTACATTGTTCGAGTGTCAGAATGGAGTGCCAGTGAGCGAGGTTTTATTTCCTGGGCTTTTTTGTGACTACATTCAACAGAGGACCGTCAAAAGTGAAAATTGGTAATATTTATGTGCACAAGACGCGTAAGGATACATCATAATGAAGAAATAAAGTTGACGACGACCAGAAGGTGAGTGTTACGATGTTCAGTTACCTTTTTGTGGTATTATAATTTGTTGTGCTTGTTGACCTATTATGGCAGGTCAGCGAATTCATCTTGTTATCTTAAATGTAACCTGCGCTAAAGTTTACGTTATGGAAGTCTGTATTAATCCATTTGCTAGGCTATTATCTCTTTATGTATGCTAGCAGTAGTCCCATAGTTATAGATTCCTTGAAATGTAGCATCACGTCGCACTTATCGTCTTCCTATTAGCGCTTCTGTTACTGTTCCGTCCTGCTTCAAATGTTTTTAATCTTCGTTAAGGGTGAGGTTCCGTGAATAGGATTAACAATTCGTCTGTTCTAACCCCCCATGTGTCTTTAATTAAAAAGTTACCGACGTTTCTACTCCATTTAACTACCTAATATTTACAGCTGGTCTGCAAATTTGCATATAAATTTTTTTCGCCGTGAACAGCAGGGTCACAGGTGCCTATTTAACCGTGGATAATTAGTTTTAAATACAATTCGAGGGACATTTTTATAAAAGTTTAGGAAACGTTGGTATTTCTAGGAATTGAGAGGCGAAGCATTTCAGGTACAGGCTTTTTATATAAAGTAATCATTGAAATTATGGTTTACGCTGTCATTATTGTGTAACAAGTAGATAATCTAAAAGGGCCTGTCTGTGTCTTACCGTAAGATTATAGTGACGAGTAAAAATTGGTGTACTACTAAGGATACCTGCGCAGTGTAACGAATATCAATCAGTTGGGAGGTGACCCGGTAAGAATTATATGAGTCATTGTGAAAAATTAAACATCATGACTTGGCAAACTGCATGAAGAGGAGTTACGCTACAGGATATTTTCACAAGAGACTTCGTATAGCTTGACGGCCACGTGAAAGCACCACACAACTACCGTTACCCTCTGACAAAAGCGATGGATGGAGGCATATGTAAAATAAAAAGGTATTTGTAAAATGTTCTCGTATACTGTAACTATCAAGAGATATATTTACTTGAGGTATAACAGTATATCGTCACAAACTTTAGAAAGACACAAATAAGTTCTTTTACATAATTAAGTGGTTAAATGATTAGGCTACGAACCTGAGGAGGAGGGTATCTCGGGTGTGGTGTTGCCGTGGGCGTGAGGTGGGCGTGGATCCAGGCACGGTTCAGCTTTCCCACATCACAAGAAACCGACACCCATCTGTAGGTAGGTGGTGGGACACGGTTGGTATCACACGGTAGTAGTAGTAACTCATGTTTGATTTGATTTTAGTGTAAATAAAGGTTTTCATTTGTAATCGGTCGTTCAGTCTTTTTAGGTATTTATTTAGTTCAGTTTGCTTATTCGATATTGGTAAGTATTAATTTATCATAATATTGAATATATGGATTTTTTTTTCTTGAGTACATGAACAATAGTTAGGTAATTAGTGAATATAAATCGCTCTTATAAGGGACGACAATTCATCTCAATTACAATATTTATCAGTAATTTGTTGAAAAGAGTTGAATTGTAATTTATATAGACTAAAAGTGACAGTGTGACTTAAAGCTCCTCGTAGAAATAATGACTATAACAAGAATACTCCTGTCCTGGGCGAGTCAGAAAAGGTGTTTATTTACGCTTGTCAAGATTACAATAACAGAACGTTTCTCTTTTATGGGGGGACGCGCCTGTCAAAGAAAACGACCGTCAAGGAAGGAAGACTCGCTTATAAAGATGCCGTCCATGTGTGACTTTGGTGTCTGTGGTCGTACTGTTTAAAATTTGAAACAAAGTACTAAAGAATATCATTGAAATATCGAAAATTCGTCTTAAATGTTTGGGATTAATATTTTAAAATTAAAAGAAAATCGTTATGGGCATCTACGAAGGGGAAAAAAACGTATTATTTTCTTAATTACAAAGGATGGGGGTGAGTTTTTTATTCCACTAACAATGTTTAACAAGTTTACGTGCATCATTGTACTACCTGGTCACCTGTTTGATTATCGTCTTGTAACCCTTGTAATAATTCCTTTGATTTTTGGATTGTGACACCTAAGTGCTAATTAGAGGAGTGTATGTTTTCAGTGCTGAGGATGGGGTGTGGCGGCTTAGTGGATATAGGACTCGTTTCCTTTCTTGGGGTTGTTGGTTCGAGCTTGGGGCATCATCAACAGTCCACCCACCTGTGATTGGTTATCTAACTTTACAGATAAAGGATTGAAGACTTACAGTAGTGGCTATTGTCTGTATCCGCCGGCCCTCAGGCTTGTGGGGATCACTTCCACTTGAGGTAACCTACCATTATTAAATGAGTGCTTCTTGAAACCTATTTTTGTTTTTATACACCAGTTTCTTGACAAGTAAAGGGACAACTGTGTGTGAATGTTTACACTCCTCCACGCCAAGGTCATTTGCCTTCACA